ACAGGATAGTGACTATTTCTTAAGTGTTAAAACCCAGTGCCGGAGACATCAATATTTGAAGAATAAATAGAAGTTGTTCCACTATTTATAAGATCAAATACCTGTGCTAGTATTCTATGAAAACTCAAATTTCAAGAAATGTGACTTTTTAAAAATTGAAGGTTCCTATGAAGACATAAATGGTGACCATCCAGTGTGCAATAAAACATTATGCTAGTAACATGTTTCACTGACAAATCTCAGAATGCAGTCACTCACAGGAAGATGTAGAAAGAGAAAATCCTGTTTTTCTTTCACCATAGGACAACCCATGGCTCCTGTTCAAAAAAGACTTGCATTCATTAAATGTTCTCTCTTAGCCACATCTCTCTCTGGCTTCTTTCCAAATTTTTTCTTACGAGTGATAAATCTGTTGGGAAAATTCAGAGATTTGCATTTCCAACTGAAAGCAGATCTCTTTGAGAATGAGTAGTGGAAATAACAAAGACCAGGGATGGTCTTACTCCTCAGAAACTTTGCCTAAGAACTGACCAGAATCCTTTCAGCAGTGAATTTCATGGGAATTTACTCCCTAAAGCTACATAGGAACTCGGTTTAAATTTCAGCAGAAGGGCTGGGGAGTAGTTTTGCTTTATTTGGTTATTCTAAATTTCTCAGACAACCTCTTGGAGTTCTTGTCCAGTCAGTGAGAGAGTAAGAACAGAGATCAAAGGGGAAAACAAGCCAGGACAAAATAAAGGAAAGTGAATTTTGGTCTTGCCCTTTGTTGTGTGCCTATATTTACTTTCTGTAATATCTCAATAAATCATTTGTACAGAGGCAAATGACATTCAGTGAAGAGCTGCAACATTTATTTTAAAATCATATATCTAACAATGTTATGCATACATATGGGAGAATTCAGATCCTAAATGAATTTGCTCACTGCACTCCCTGAAGCTGATTTGCTGCTACAAATGTATTATGTATGTCTGAATTCTGATGTATTATAAAACAAATGACACATAGAAGTTTATTTAATTGGTTGTGGCTTATCTTGGTTAAAAAGGAACACGATGGTGTGGCTAATCCAAA